AAAAAAAAAAATGCCGCGTCCTTCAATTTCCAAACAAAACAAACAGGCAACCCCCACAAAACACTGTTTGGCATTTTCCTGCCACGTTCATTTAGCACATGGAAAACAATTCCAGTGTCCTACTCCGAACTCCTATATAAATACCCATTTCCTCCTCCATCTTCCCATACCACAAATCACCTCTCAATTCTATTCCATTCCTTCTCTTACCCAAATCAAAAACACTACTTGTTAAAGAAGTTTTAGCTCTTTACCATGAAGATTACAGGGGAAAAAAGATATGCTCTTCTACTGGCGGCAAGGGACTCGGAATATGTCAAGAAAGTCTATGGAGGTTATTTCAATGTGTTCGTTGCAGCTTTTGGCGAAGAAGGAGAAAAATGGGACTTGTTTAGGGTTGTCGAAGGAGAGTTCCCAGCTATGGATGCGCTCCATGAGTATGATGGCTTTGTTGTTAGTGGCAGCCCTTATGATGCTTATGGAAATGACTACTGGATTCTTAAGTTATGCCTTCTCTTGCAAACTCTGGATGACATGGAGAAAAAGGTTCTCGGCATCTGCTTTGGTCATCAGGTATAGCATTTCGTTGATTTTTAAAACAGTTCTTGATGTGATATTAAGAGTAGCTGGAGATCAAACAGATGATGAAATTTATTGGAATTCATTTTACAGGTATTGTGCCGAGCGTTGGGAGGGAAAGTTGGGAAAGCTTTTACGGGGTGGGATATTGGGCTGAGGAGGGTGAAGATAGTGAAAGATTTATCGCGATGCAGCTTTATTGATGAGTTGGGCGAAATTCCCCCTTCTCTTTCTATCATAGAATGTCACCAAGATGAGGTATGGGAGGTTCCTCAAGGGGCTGAAGTGATTGCATTTTCCGACAAAACTGGGGTGGAGATGTTCACAATTGGGCACCACATTCTTGGGATTCAAGGCCATCCCGAATACACCAAGGATATTCTTTGTAGCCTCATTGATCGCCTTCTTAATAACAATTCCATAGAGGTAAACATGATACTAATTTTTCAATCTTAGACCACTTAATTAAGGGTAAAGCTAAATACAAATCAGGACTTTAATTAACTGCACCCTTTAATAATTAATTATATGTATAACTTGATTTTCCTTTGTTATTAATACTAGTTTTAATGGATGCAGAGAGATTTTGCTGAAAATGCAAAGGTTGGATTGGCGATGGCTGAGCCTGATAGGAAGTGCTGGGAAAAGATTTGCAGAAATTTTCTCAAGGGAACATAGACGATTTGCCCATTTTTCCAATGGGTTTTGTTTACCTTTGACTTTCTCAATATTTGTAAAGGTCATGTTTCTTCAAATCAAAACAAAAATGGTTGAGCCTAAATCTTCCACGCACCATATATTTATTCTTCTTAACATTTACTAGCATTATAGTCCAAGTCAAAAATGTATTTAGTCATCCACAAAGCAAATGAAAAAATTAGATAAAGAAAATTATTGACAGCCATTGAACTCAAGCATGAGAACAGAACTTTGTAAAGAAAAATTCTGGGCAGAACGTGGAAAGGACTAAAAAAAGAGAGCAGAAACGTGCGAATGTATACAATTAATATATGATCGGGCAGTCTTCGTGATTCTCTCTCAAGTTGAGGTTTAGTGGGAATCTAAGTGGGGCACGTTGAAGATAATGCAATTGCATGAGAATATTGGAACCATATTCACAGTGGAAAATATTTTTGTACAACATTTTTGTACAACTTGACGTACATTTTTGTACAACTTGACGTACATTTTTGTACAACTTGACGTGTCATTTAAATAATTGATTCTTTTAATTCATGTAGAACCTATGACATTGAATGCATCTACTTATTTAATAATATATAAAAATTATATAAAAAGATAGTATAAAAAAATTGCCCTTGGAACACTACCCATTCACAATGGGATTGTTAACCGAAGTTGGCAGAAGAACCTATTTTGGAACCTTAGGAAGGTTAGATATGTTCGTTTTAGATGTTAGGAAACATCTATTAATTGTTGGTCTCGTCTCCAATTGGATAGGTAAGAACGTATGTGGTGACGAATAAAGGCTGATACAGTTATATATTAACAGTTATGCTTTAGAATCAAACAGATGTGGTAGTTGTTTACAGTTATGCATCAGAATCAAATTCTACCAAAGTGAAATTCTCTTGCCTAACATTACAACTTCCACATAAAGTTAATTGATGCGGTTGCCAAACAAGATTCTCACCTTTACAATTGTGATCTTTTTCTCCTCGCCAATAGGCCTATTGCTGCAAGAGCCTGAGCAAAGACATGCTTTTGAGCAGCTATGCATTGAGCCCTATTGGATAATACAAGCATCAAGCATGTTTAATTATAATACACAAGTCAATTAAAATAAAAGAACAGAATCTGAAGACTTTGTATAATAGTGCTAATCAACTGACACGTTCAAATGATCTTGCAACAAAAGAACATGAAAGATCAAATATCTCTGCTTATTGGAAAACACTAAAATCATGTAAGTGCACGGAAAACATGAATAGAAGAAAAAATTTGTGGGTTGGAAAGTAATATGTAGTTATAATAAATACGGGATAAAATGGGGTGGGGTTATTGTCACACCTTAAATGGTTAATGTCACACTTTTTTAATATAATTATCTATTATACCCTTATATCACATTCTTTCTCAAAAATTTACATTTTTTTTTGTTTTTTAATAAATTAAAAGATATAATAATCAATTAAGATAAAAAAATATAATATTAGTAATTGAGGATATAGCAATAACATCACCCGATAAAATGGCATGAGACAGGGTCTTCTTTTGCTGGAAGCCAGTAATAAATTAGTTGAAGCCTAGACAGGATTTGTTGAGATAACTCATTTTATTAATAACCCATAAAATATGTTACCACCGTCTCATCTCCGGTTAAAAAAAAAAAATTGAATGCGAAAGAGGCAATGTGCAGTCTGCACATGAAGAAATAGCCATATGCATTGACACAACAAATGCACAGAAAAAGGCCAGCTAATTAACAGACCACTGATAACGAGTACTAAACTTAAAGGACTAAAAACATAGAGACAATTTGAAAATACCTGCGCACACAACTTTTAATGCGGATGAAACTACAGCTTATGCATCCAACATAATCATCATCAATCATCTTCTTCACTAGTAAACATTTAATTTTCAATTAAGGTAGTCCATTTTAGAAATATATTGTGAAGATCATAATGATAAAAGCAAATTTTCATGTACCAAATTGGTGATGGTGATTTAACACGCCTTGAATAATTTCCAACACCAAGCTACTGAATTGAACTCAGTTCTATTAAAAGAATTCAACACAAAGCTACAGACTAAGAAATCTGAATCT